GTCGGAAAGTACAGATATCTGAGGGTCTGATGTTAGAACAGACAGAGTGATCGAGTCATTCCCCAAGAAATTCCTGCACAGAATTGCCAGAAAAGCATTTACTAGTCATTTTCTCTGCCCACTTTCCCTCTGACCTGTATATCTGAGGGTTGTTCCACTAAATGCACACTGACATTAAACGTTGCCCCCGTTTGGTTTTCACGCGAAAAACCGGGATCCTCTTCAATAACTGTTTCACGTAAATAGCCAAAAAGATACTTCTAGAGACACTCCCCACTTGCAATAGCTTGACCGCCAAAATGACCATCCTTCCTAGAGGCCAAGCGTTCTCTTCGAATTGAGTCAGGCTTCCGTGATCGCCAGCACTTCGAGTTTGCACCGACAGACCTTACAGCAAACATCCTTTAACTTACTTTCTCTAGAAAAGAAAGAAAGGTTCCATTCCAATATCCAGCACGGAGCTCACTTCACGAAGGGTCGATCACATGCACCGCGAACATCTCTGTTCCTAGTTGTTTGCCAGTTTCGAAAGCGAATCTTTCCAGCCTGTTGACTTGGGCCGTATGCTTGAATTATTTTTATTGTTCTTCTTTTGTCCATGTGAAGAAGTAGAATTGCTGTAAGAAATGAAAAAAGGTAACAGCTCACTGCAAATCGTACAGAATTTTTTTTGCTATGAACCCAACGCGGCCGTTCTAAGCTTGGTTCTCGACGGCGTTTCTGAAGAAAACTTAGTCACCGTTGTTCCACTACGCAATAAAATCAGTATATCTTCGGATTTCACATATTTCAGTCATGCTCGCCTCAATTTTCTCCGTTTTCTTGAGACAGTCGCCGGTAAACGCGTCTGTCGATAGGTTATAGCATTATATAAGGTGAAGAAGGTCTTAATGATGACCCGGGTCTGTTTACCAATCGCTTCCTGTGGTTTAGTGAACCGCAGATGTTGTTCAGGTCAACGCGGCAGCCTGCTTCTATTTCTCCTATTTTCATGGTTTCGGTTTTTCTTCGAGCGCTTCTGATCACTAATTTTTCTGCAGTTCATTGGATGCTGACCCTCGTGAACCATTGCCATAGTTTCCCCAACCCTCATCCAGCCAACCGGATTCAGAAAAGTGATACGCCTTGGGAGGTTTAGATCGCGGAAAGACATCGTTGGTTGACAGTGTGTTATGACAACACGGCTGCACAAGTCTAGCCGAACGGCCTCCCGCACCCACCACTTCCAGGCACTCACTCAAACGAAGTTTCGATCGACATTTTAGAAAGACTAACAAGGCAGGTTGTTGAATTATGACTCACGCCGAGTGAGACAACTCTTTTGCATTGCTTATATGTGTTTAAA